GGGGACTCCCCCCTGCCCTGGGCAGCCCATTCCAACGCCCAACAGCCCCTTCTGCACAGAAATCCTTCCTCAGAGCCAGCCTGACCCTGCCCTGGGCAGCTTGAGGCCATTCCCTCGGGGCCTGGCGCTGGGGCCTTGGCTCCAGAGACTCATCCCCCCTCTCTGCCCCCTCCTGGCAGGGAGTTGCCGAGGGCCAGGAGGTCTCCCCTCAGCCTCCTCTTCTCCAGACTGAACCCCCCCAGTTCCCCCAGCCGCTCCCCAGCAGACCTGTGCTCCAGACCCTGCCCCAGCTCCGTTCCCTTCTCTGCCCACGCTCGAGTCATTGGTGCAGGTCAGCTATCGCTCCCCGCGAGATCTCACCCCCATCCCGCTGCGTCCCAGGCTCAGCCACAGCCCTGGTGAGCAGGCCAGACCCTCACCCACCTCATCCAGCTTGGTCTGGTGACACGGGAAGGAGAAGGTGAACCCAAGGGGGAGCTTCTTGTCTTTGATTTTCAGCTTCTCCATGAAGTTGGCCAAGCACTCAGCGATGTGGTCGAAGAGCTGAAAAAAAACGGCAAAGAGGAGTGAGCCCTCGCCTGGCTGCCCCAACCAAGACGATGCACCAGAGCAGCCCCCGCATCCCTGCCGGCCAGAGGGACGGGTGGCCCGTCACCCACGTCACACCTTCCGTGGCCCTCACCTGTCCCCCGCTTGGTGCCAGGGATTGACAGCTCCAGGCAAAGGAAGGCAAGGATCTACCTGGGTCCTGCTGCGCAAGGCAGCAAGGGGAGGCTGCTCCAGCCCCATTCCACAGCTCGGGTCCCGGGGTGACACCCACCCTCCCTTCAGGCATGAGCGCTGCCCGGGCCGGAGGGTCCCGCCAGCAGGGAGCCCTGCGGCTGTGGGGCTTCCCGGGAGAGTGAGGATGGGGGAGAAAGGGGCTGAACCCACCTGCACCCCGCTGCCTCGCATGAGCTCCTCGGGGATGGCGTAGATCTGATTCTCCATTTCGACCTTCTGCAGGCCGTTGTCAGACACCTTCACCCTCAGCACGCGGAAATTGGTGCCACCGAGGTCCAGCGCCAGGAAATCCCCATCCTCTGCGGGAGCCCAGACAAGAACAACCCTTTAACTCAGGGGGTCCCGCTTGGCAGCATCAGTGCCTGCACCAGGCAGCCCCGGAGCAGGAGAGGAAGTAACCAGCCCAAGTATGAGGGTAAGGTGTGATTTTTAAAATATTTTTTTCTTTTTTCTTTTTTTTTTTATTTTATCAGAGCTGTGGCCGTATTCCCTGCTCCTCCTCTGCATGCCTGGCGCCCCCATAGCTGACGGAGGATCAAAGCCCCATCTTTGAGACACATCCTGATGCCCTGGGTGTGCAGAGGCGGTGGCTGAGCCCGCAGCACGTCTGCTGGCAGAAGGACCGACCCCAGCAGCCCCATTCAGAGACAAGCCCATGCCCAAACCCACGGCACTCCCAGGGAAGAGGAGTTCCAGCCTCAGGCTCCATGGGGAAGAAGGCTGTTTCTGACCCTATTGGATACAGGATGCTGGTGAAAGCTCCTAAATGTCCAGCCCAGAAGGTTAAAACCCTGCTAGCCAGCTGTCGAAACACCGGAGTTTGACTGAACGTTTGATATATGGGAAAAAAAACTAAAAATCCTCATGTTCAGGCTTGGCTGCTGCAGTCCAAGACAACCTCCCCTGCCCTGCTCCAGGAATCCCGCACACTCCTGGCATGTGGTTTCTCGCTGAAGGCAAGATTGAAAGGTGTAAGCAGGAAACCAGTGAGGGAAAAAAAAAAAACTAAAAGACCTTCCCCAGGCAGATGTGAGGAGCAGAGTTCCTCCCTTGGTGTCGGCCGAGAGGAGACCCGGGTCGTGCTGCCTCCGAGACCCAAGGGCTAAGCCCAGCAGGTTTCACCTCCTGCTTGTTTTCATTCTACCGGGCACCAAGGCAGCTCGCTGGATTTGGGACCAACGGAGACCTGGGATGCGGGAAAAGCGCCAAGCTGGCTGTTTTAAATACCTAGCAGCGTGGGGAAAGGGATGGGGGAAAGCCCTCTATCAGCACTGTTTGATTTCTGAATGCATTAAATGTGCTGTGCTGGCTCCCCCGGGCAGATTACAGCGCCCAGGGGCCGCATTGTGCCCGCCGATGCTTTGACAAAGGGGCTACAGTTGAAACAAAAAGTGTGGTTTATTAGTATTCAAATGACACCAGGCCAGCCAGCATCTCCAGTGACTCCAGCTGAAAAGGCAGCTCGCTGTCCAAGCCTGCGGGGCGTCCATCTGTCCTGGCGCCTTTCCTGGGGCTGACCCTCCAAGGACGCGGGGCGAGGGAACTGGGGACAGACTGGGAGCCTGGGCTGAGAGCAGCTTTATAAAGTCCCTCTGTGACTGAAAAGGTCTATTAAAGCCTCGTGCTCTGAGGGAATGAGATGAGGAGTAAGAGGGGATCGGAGGTCTTGAGCAGCGTTCCACAGCCTTGCGGCTCAGGATGGAAAATTTGGGGAGCGCGGGGGGGTCTGTGCCTCACTCCAAGGGTGATGCAGGGCAGGTTGGGCCCCAGCTCTCGGTGGTACCAGCCCGTGCCAAGCCCCCCGCAATGCTCCGGCTGCACTCCTGTATGGGTCACACCCCAAAATCAACCGGCCGGTGGAACACGGCAGCTACACCACTATTTTAACAAACACGGATGTTCAGCCAAGTCCCTGCTCCGGCTCTGGCCAACCCTCGCGTCTCTGGAGCAACACACACGCCCCCTGCAAGAGCCGTTAACCCAGAACCACGGAGCACTTCAAACCTGGAGCCCACCAGCGCTTCGCAACTCATCCCTCCTCAAATAGCACCCTCGGCAGAGCTCCGAGTGAGGCAGCGCAGCCAAGAGATGTCCAACTCAGCGCCTGCGGGCTCGGAGAACGGCACGGGAGCTGGCGGAGCCCCAGAGTGCCCGAGCTCATTCGTTGGGGCAGTCAAATCCCTGAATATTCATTTCTCCTCCTCGCCTCCCACCCGCGTTGACCCTTCGCAGGGATGAGGTTTAAACCAGTTTGGCAGCTCGCTTGGCACACTGTCTGCCAGCCACAGGGCATGCCTTGGCCAGGTCTCTACACGGATGCTGAACATGCACCAGGAAAACCCTCAGCGAAGCTCCTCACTGTCCTGATGTCACCAGTAAACCCACCGTGGAGATTCAGACTCTGCCTAAGGATGGGCAGAGCTGGACACGGTGCCTGGCTGGGCACCGCCGGCATCCTGTACTGCCCCAAACAGGGTCAAGCCGTACCCCACTTCCCTTGTTGTTGGCACAGATGGCGTTCTGCTTGCTACCAGAGCATGAAAAATACCTCAGGGGGCTGATAAATACGCCAGGGCAAAGGATACTGGAGCCAAGAGGGTCACAGGTTTCTCTGCTCCTCGGAGACAACGTGGGGAGCCCAGGAGGAACGGACATCCCCAGAAAAGCAAAGGCCAAGGAGCCGGGGACAGAGCTGTCCTCCCATCCCGCCCAGCCCTGCCCATGCCCGGTGTTTCGCCTAAGCCACCCCTGTGAGGGTTTCCCTTGACCTGCTGCCCACCGACCCAGCCCGGAGCAGCAGCAGGACCCAACCCAACAGCCAGAAATCCCCCTTACAAGCTGCTCAGTGGCCACGGGAGAGGTACAAGTGGTTTGAGCGGCGGCTGCTGAGGTCAAGGGGTGGATTCGCAGGCGATCAGCTTTGCAGGAGGAAAAAGGCAGCACAATCTCTCTTGAAAAATTCCCAGGCACCCTGGTTGCATGATGGGCTCCACCGGCTGATACCATGTCTGGGTCCTCCCTCTGATTAGGGCTCCCTCCTTATGTGATAAGATAGAGGCTGCACCGCTGAGCTCACAAACCGCGGCCAGGGCAAACACAGAGCTCTGACGGAGGGATCGCCTGCCCTCAGCAAACCACCTAAGGGTGAGTGTTTAGCGCCTTTGAAAATGCCTGCGCCTGCTGGGAGAAAGCACAGGGCAAGGCTCTGCTGCCCGCAGAGGTACAGCCAGGACCAGGGGGCCGGAGCATCGTGTGCAGGATCATGCCCCAGCATCTCAGAGGTCACTCACCCACACCTCCCACCTCAGAGCTCAAGGCTTCCTACCAACTCCAATCCCATTTTGTAGGAATCCTCGGCCAAATCGGCTTAATAAAAAACAAGAGGAAGAGAAAAAGCTGGAGTAGGTCGAGGCTCTTTCCCCCCAGGGAGACGCAGAAGGTGGAGGCACAGACCCCAGCGTTTCCCACTGCCCCCCCATCTGCAGATGCCAGCCCTACCCCGCCTCCCTTCAGGCAGCTGAGAGTCGCCAAGCAGAAGGAACATATGTAAAAGCTCACATCAGTGTCTCCACCGAATTAGCGCTGGAGAGCAGCAAAGGGGCTTATGATGTATCGAGCATGAAATACTGGGTTTGCAGCCACAAAAGATCCGGGATTAACCTGGTGGCCTGTTCCGGACAGAATCGGGTCCAGCAAAGAGCAATTACACTGAGCACAGCGAGAGTGGCCTGGCAGCAATTCCCCAGCACGATTCCTTGCTGGGGAGTGCGGTAACGCACTGGGCGAGGGGCATGAACGAAGAGTTTTCTTTAAAGCCTTTGAAGACCACCGGCCACGGAAGCTGGTTTTCTTGAAGAAACAGCTGGTTATTGGCAGGAACTGAGCCCACGGGCCAAGGGAAGGGTGTTGTAAAGAACCATCCCTTGAATTTCCAGGGATTTGATCCCCAAAGTCCTGCAGCAGCATCCCAAAACCCCAGGTCGTGGATATCAGCTGCTGGGACTTAACGGAGGATGCGCCAGAAGATCCTTGTGTCAACATCAGCGTGGAGGAGGAGAGGCAGTAATGCCAGCAAAGCCCGGAAAACCAGGGAAGGAGCAGGGAGAAAGGTGGGGTTTGCACAGAGCGAGGAGAGCCCGTGTTCAGAGTCACTGGGGCTCCAAGGAAAAGCTTATCTGGGGTCTGTCCCCCCCCAGCCTGCCGGGTCTGGGCTTTGACTCCAGCCCGCGGATGTGACCTTGTACTTCTCCAAGCGCCTCTCTCCGCCTGGATCCCAGGGCATAACCCCAAGGCAGAGACCGCTCGTGCTACAGCAAGGAGCGGCAGGGATGCTTTGCAGGAGGCAGGTGCAGAACCCCTGGAGCTGGGGTAGCACGTGGAGACGGCAGAGCCGCAAGCAGGGCCGGAGCAGAGGGATAACCTGCCAAACGGGTGGGAGCAGGACTTCGTGCCCAGCTGAAGTCAGACTTTGCCCAGAAGTTGCAAAAAAACAAACGTGGAAGAAGAAAGGACGCACCCCTGGACGTCGAGCTCTTCCTGAGCTGCTGTCACCGCATCCCAACGCAAAGTGAGGTGCCCGGGGAGCTGGCAGTGAGCCCCACCACAGCTGGCCCTCGGCTCACCCCCGCAGCCCCAGCGTGCCACCTTCCAGCCACCGCCTCCAGAAGCCAAGAGCAGAGACGCGGATGCTGCTCACAGCCTGGATCCAGCTGGAGCGGCACAGGGAATCCCAGCTCCTGGCTTCCCAGGCCTTGCTCAAAAACCTCCCGCTTTCCAGTCCCTGGGCAACTGCAGCCCCGTGACTGCCCCAGCATCCCCTTTGCATCACATTTTCCATGCTGCTGTGCTCCTTCTCCCCGCCCCTCTGAGCATGCTTCGGGTGAGAAATGCCAGCTGGGACACTGGAGAAGCTGCAGACCAGGAGGACACGGTGAAGGAAGCCAAGGCTCGGTCTTGTAAGGACAAGGAGAGGGATTACACCTCCTCCCCACCACGGGTCAGGCTGCTGAGAGCTCTGCTCCTGCCTCTCGGGAGCTCTGACACACGCTCCGCCAGCACCCAGCACCTTCGGCTGCAAGAGTTCCCATGCCCAGGGGCAGCATTCTGGCTATCCCTGTAATTAAAAATATTCTTAAACATTTGAATAGATTGAAATCTCGATCCGGGGGCAGGCAGCCAGGTCCAGCTTTTGGTGTACGTGCACTGGGGGGGGCGAGCACACAGGGTGCAGCGGGCAGGACAGCTCAGGGTGCTTCGGCACTTAAAGAGGGCTTGTAAGAAAGATGGGGACTGACGTTAGCAGGGCCTGTAGCCACAGGACGAGGGGCAATGGTTCTGAACTAAAATAGACTCAAACTACTGAGGCAGAAATTCTTTAGTGGTGAGACACTGGCACGGGTTGCTCAGAGGGGTGATAGATGCCCCATCCCTGGAAACATTCAGCCCAGGTCGGATGGCTCTGAGCAACCTGATCTAGCCGACAAGGTCCCTGCTTGTGGCAGAGGGACTAGATGTCATTTAAAGGTCCCTGTGATGCCTGTGACTCCCCAGGGACTTGTCCCCTCAGACCTCACCAAAATGTTACCAGCGAGCCCCCCCCAAGCTGGTCAGTGATGCAGAACTTCAGCTCATCACCTCGCTCCTTGCCTCCGGAGACCGGGCAGGCAGCGGCAACGGGGGTTTATTTTTTTGGCTGCTGAGCAGGCCTCCCTCTCGGGTACACCCTATTTAACACTATCACTCAACCAGCAGCTCGCACTGGCTTGGCGCGCTTCTCGGGAGAGGAAACTCCAGTCTACCCAGTGGCTGCCCACTGAGGCCAGGTCACGCGAGATTCCAGCCACAGCATCTGCTGGGACCCGCTCCGCTCCAGAAGCCGGGTTTGAAAACACAACAGCGGCAGAACAGATGGGCAGGCGGGGATGGGGAGGGAAGGGCAGACAGCCCTTTCCATCAGCTCCCTTCCCCTTTATCCACCTTTCCTGCCGGCTATTTCTGCCACCGGGGTTTTGCAAGGACCCTCGTGAAGGTGCCGACGCCAGAGCCACCCCCGCTCTGAGCCACCCCAGCCAGTGGGACCGACCAGCCAGGGAGTTTCCCCGGAGCTGCCGCCAGCCCAGACGTGGAACCAGGCGCAGGTCTGGCGGCTCGGGGCTCGGCATCCCTCCCTGCCCTTCAGCAGCCAGGACCCTCCACCAGCTCCGAGCACAGGGACGCTCAGCAGGTCCCGGCGCATCTGCACCCCGCTGTGTGCTGGCGGGCAGGGGGCGATGCCGCAGGGACCACCGCAAAGCTCCTTCCCAAAGCATCAAGCTAGGAGAAGGAGTCACAGGGAAATTTCCCATACGGATGCTCGAGGAAGCAGATTTTTGGGTTGAGGCAAACAAGCCAGAGCCTGAAAGGGGGATGTAAGAGGGATACGTCCGGCCGGAGCAGGCAGAAAGGCCACATTGTGAGACGCCGATCTGGAGAGCCCCCTTCTCCTCCCGCGGCCCTCACGGCATTCAGACAGTGGCTGGCACCGCCGCCCGCTTCAGCGCTAATGAAACTTGATGAGCCGGACCCGTGACTGTCTCCGTCCTGCCAGGAAGGGCACGCGAGAGCTGGTTCCCACCCTCCCTTCCACCAGCGGGAACTGGGAGCCCCTCCGGTGCCAGCACCGAGGGGGGAACAAGACCTGTCCCCACACAGAAGCAGGACGAAGCCGTAAGGGCCAGGAGCGCAGGTGGCCGTGGGTGCCATCCCCGTTTTGGTAGTGCCAGGAGGATGGGTGGCCCCAGCCCTCCCTCCTGGCAGGTGCTGGCCCCTACCAAGACCTCCCCACCACACTGTCCCATCTCACGGTACCTGTCCCATCCGGGGTGGATCTCACGAAGGTGGGCAGCATCTTCACCGAGGCAGTGGGGTTGGTGTCTGCTCCCAGCCCCTTCTCCATCTCCTTCCTGAAACGCTGGGACACCTCCTGGAGGGTCTCCTCGGAGAGCCGCATGTGGTAGAGGTACTTGTCGATCTGAAAGGTCGACATAAGGCCAAAAAGTCAGCGGGAGGGTTGGGGAGGTGGGCACAACCCCCGTGACACGTTCAGGACAGCGTTCAGCCCCCTCCGTGTCTGCTGGGGCCAATGCAAGAGGCAGGAGCAGGTCGTGACCCACCCCGGAGGGCAGGACAGGGCTGTGCCAGCACGTTATCAACACGGCAGCGCCAGCGGTGCCACATCAGCCTGTCCCCAGGCACGCTGACAACCCCCACTGCTGTTCCCGCATCTCTCACGGAGCGGCCGGGGCTGCTCTCCAAGGAGCGCATCAAATGCCACCCCCTGCCCTCCTCAGCATCTTCCCTTGCCCGGACAGTTCCCAACTTGGACACGCTGAACCCTGAGGAGTTCCCAACACTCCGCAGCATCTTCTCCACTCATTCACCTACGGGCACCCAAACAGGTTGCGACAGCAGTGGGACCTAAACTCAACAACCTTCCCGGCCTGGGCTGTGAGTCAGGAGGTCGGTGCCGGAGGTTTTCCAGCTGCAGAGCCCTTCCTACGCCAAGGCGGCAGCGTGATCCCCAGGGCCTCTTCCTACACGAAGGATGCTCGGCCGGAATCCACTGCCCATTCATTTCTGCCCTGCTGAGATCACCCCTACGAAGGTTACGGTGCCAAGAGCTACTCCACCCCCTTGAGCAAACAACGCTGGTGTGACACAAGTGGGTGCTGTGGCCAGAGAGGAAAAAATCCACACACCCCCCTGCTCCCGGCAGTTGTTTATACTCTTATGCTGAGGCTGGCTATGATCAGCTCCTGCTTCATCAAATGTCATCAAAACATCTCCCTGGGGAAGGCAGAGAAAAACTCCTCCCTGACCCATCCATTAGCACCGGCCATGTCTCCGCAGCCTGGCCGGAGCAGGGAAGGGAAACGGAGAGGTGGACAGCCAGCCAGCTCCCAAACTGTGCCCTGTTTCAATTAACTTCACTTAAAATTAATTAAAGGGCAGCTGCAAGCCCTGCGAAGTCAAGAGGAAAACTCCACCCAGTTAGCTCACCTGTCTGTAGGCACGTAACATAAGGTCATCAGAAATCAAGCAGGAATATTTTTTTATGGGGCTGCGCTATAGGAAATGGGCATTTTGCGGGCGAGTAATAGCCATCCGCCCCAGCGTGACCTCGCTCACGGATGCGGCCGCTCGGACCCGGGGCTGAACAAAACAGCTCTGCTGTGGGTTTGGCTGCCTGCGTTTCAGGCTGGGGATGCTCCAGCGTATCCTTCCCCCCCTCCACACACACACACACCCCAGCTCTGCTGGAAACTTGGAAGCCAAGTCCCCAGTTGCTCCGCGCTCGCGAGAGCCAGAGGGTGGAGGGAAGCCCGGCCAAGCACCCTCCGTGGGAGAGACTTTATTCCCTGGCAGCAGCATCCTCACCGGTGTGATGGGTGAAACCTCCTCCCCACTTCTCCTGGTGCTTTCATAGAATCACGGAATAGAATCCCAGAATCATTCGGGTTGGAAAAGCCCCTCGGGATCACCGAGTCCAACCCTCAGCCCGACTCCACAAAGCTCTCCCCTACCCCACATCCCCCCACAGCTCACCCCAACGGCCCTGAAACCCCCCAGGGATGGGGACTCTCCCCTCCCCGGGCAGCCTGTTCCACTCTCGGACCACTCTTGCTGGGAAACATTTTCTCCTCCTGCCCAGCCTGACCCTCCCCTGGGGCAGTTTCCAGCTGTTCCCTCTTGTCCTGTCACTAATCACCTGTTTCCCATTAATTGGGAGTGGAGAGCGAGCGCCTGCCGGCTGGGCAGGAAAAGATAAGGCTGAGGATGAGGAAGACGGGAGGTTTTCTGGTGCCAGCTGTTTACCCACCCCAGCAGCAGGAAGGCAAACACTCCCCTCCTTCCCCTCCTATTTGCTTTTGCTTGCTGGAAGCTGCCACCCACGTACCCAGGCTCCAGGTACCAGCGCAGGGAAGGCGCTGCTGCCCCAGCTCACCCTCTCCCTCCTCCCCCAGCTTCAGGAGGGGCCCGGAGCCCACCCCTCCGTCCCGTTTTGCTGCCCCGAGGGCTGTCAGCCAGGGCCACGCGCCAGGACCGACAGCCCAAGCCCAGTCCTTCGCTGCGCGCCGCGAGGACGCGTTATCCTGCTGGCAGGGACCTCTCCAACCTCCTCAGGAGCCGCCCTGGCACGGAGAGGACCTCGGCCAGACCCCATCTCCTCTCCAGCTGCATCTGACCTGGGTGCTGGTGATAATTAGAGACAAACCCGGCCAAGACTGGGCGCTCTGCCTCCCAGCACCCTCTCACGCCTCCGAGACCTTCCTCCGCTGGACTCTGGCAGCCGACGGTGGTCGGGGGGGGCTGGTGAGACCACAGTGAGTGGGGACGGGGCCCCAGCAAGGTACCCCCGTCCCAGTGCTGGGGTACCACACCAGCAGGGATTGGGGCAGAGCTTCACCACTGCACGAACCACATGCTGCTGGCGTTTCCCTCCTGTCCACCAGCCTGGCTTTGCTTGCTTTCCCTCCTAGACTGGCACGATGCTGCTGAGGGAAGATCTCGTCCCAGAGCAGGTGGGTGCTCTGGAAGCTGGGATGCACAAAAAGCCATCGCTGTCTGCACCTCGACTCCCAGCCGAGGCGTGGGGCAGCGAAGACGCTGCCTGCACAACCCACCAGCCCCCAAAATCCCAGCACGGGGAAACAACGTGGAGGTTTCACCTCCCTCCTCCCGGGCAGGCCCTGCTCAGCGCGTTCCCCATGTCCTCCAGGCTCCGCCGGACCAGGAATAATCAGCAGCAGGAGAAACAGGGTGACCTTCTCCTAATCTCCAAAGCCCTTTAAAACCTGGATCATCTTCTCCTACAGACATAGACGCTGTCCCACTTGGCAGCTAAGGCCGGTCAGGGCGTCCTGCAGACGGGCTCCGGGGCAGCAGCAGCTCAGCCCCTTCCCAAGCGAGACCACCTTGGCGTGCACTTGACCCCCACCAAGGAAGGGCCAAGGCTTCCCAGCCCCACGGCCCGGTTCGTTACCCCAATTAAGCGCCCGAGCACACCCTGAATTGTAGCAAAGATTGGGTAAGACAGGGGAATCAGTCTGCAGCACCAAAGCATGAAGATCTTTCAAGACAAACAACCTCCTCGGTTGTTTAAGCTTTTTTTTTTTGAGATCATTGCCGATTCTAAATAAATAAAGTCACTAGGTTAGGATCCGGAACGGGGCAATATAATTTCTGGAAAGCTTCCATCATAAATAATAGCGTTTCCCTGAGGAAATCTAAATAAACTGAATGGAGGAGGAACAGATTTAAGCTGGGAAGTGCCGGGCACGCTCACAGCCCAGGACAGTTGCACACAGGGCAGGACATTTTGTTAAAGAACCAGATCATTAGAGTCACCGCGAACATAACAAGTTTGATGCAATTTTTTCGAACGAAAACCAAGCGAATCCCCACCTCCTAGCTCAGGGCTGTCTCCAACTGCTCTGCTAATTTCTGCGCTGAGTGCTGGGGAAGTGCCCAGCATCGCCCTTCGCAGCTCTAAGGCCACCGCTGGGCGAGGCCCATCCGCCCCAAGGCTGAAGAAACCTCAAGTTGCCCAATTTTTGCCACCAGCTGGAAGCCGAGTGACCTGTGCCATGCTGAGCCAAGCTTAAAGTACCCCAAAAGCCAGGTTTTTCTTTGCAGTGATGGTAACAGCTCATGGCTCTAGTACCAGCACCACAGGTAGATGATCTTCCTTGGCCTGCAGACAACTCTTAATGCTCCCATCGAGGCTAAACCCTGAGGGGTCAGTGCTCCAAACCTATTAGCCTGCAAATCACTTCATTCCGATTCAGTGTCACCATCCACGGCGAAAAAAAATTAATTCCTTGGTTTGTATGTTTGGAGGAGGGTCCCATCAAGGCAGCTACGTGCAAGAGAGGAAAGACCCTCCCCGCCAGCCCCCTCCTGTATCGCTGAGCCCCTCGGTGCTACGAGAGGCTCGAGGGCTCTGAAGCGGAGAGGACGAAGGACGCTTTTCCCCTCGCCGTGGTGGTGGGGGACCCCATCGCCCGGTGGGGACGTGGGCCAGGATTGCTGCCGGCGATGGAAATTACAGCGTGACGGCGGCTTCCGGCGAGGCGCAATCGCTTCCTGCCCCGCAAATGGCGGCGGGGAAGGGGAAGGACTCGGGGCGGTTTATTCTCATGCAACAAGGTCTCGGTCACATCTTCCCCATTAACGATCCCAAGCTTTGGGAAGGGGAAGCTGCACGTCTTTAGTTTTAGTTTTGCTGCGGATCTCTCTCCAAAACCACGGGTCTGATGAGAGCCAGACTGGGAGTGAATGCTTCCAGTCCCCCAGTGCCTCCCCGCTGTGGTTTTCAGCTGGATGTGCTGAATTACAGCAGAGTTTTGGGAAAAAGCACGACACTGGGAAAGGTTAGCTGGCTTCTGGGCTGGGTTCTGTTCCTTTTCAGCAGCAGCAAGTCGGGCATTTGTGTACGAGAACAGCAGAGAGATGTTCACATTTGGGGAAGGTTTAAGCACTCGGAACCCACAAGTGTGTAGTCAGTCCTCCCTCCAGGGTAGCCTCTGCCTGAAATTATTTTTTCTTTAAATTACTTCCCTCCCTCTCTCAGTTCTTAACTTCAAACGTGCTGCTGTTTTAAAAGCCACTGAAATTTTTCAGAATACCAACCCTCTCCCTGCTTCTCTCAGAGGGGGATGCTGTGGGAGCAGGGCGAGCCACCAGCCGTGCCCGGATCTGGCAGCCACAGACCCGGGGAAACCGAGGCAGAGGGAGCGGCAGCAGTTACCGAGGTCGCAGGGGGAAGCCGGGAAAGCATCCAGCACTGAGAGCGTTTTATTTCCTGGCTCGGGACCATAACCTGGCACGCACTTTGCAACTTTTATTGTCAGATCGGGGCTGGGCGCCGCAGGAGGGGACGGACCCCGGGCCATGTCCTCAGCCCCTGCACCCGGAAAACCAGCGCTCGCCGTCCCCGTTACCCAGCGTGGGCTGACTCGGCGTGGGGAA